GTTCCCTCTTCCATTTAAGCAATGTGCCATTATCGTTTCCATCTGTGGATCCTCCAGAAAACATTTCTGGTCCTCCAGAACTCCTTCTCCTTAATACCTTTTTCCGATTACGAGGCTTACCATTTACGCTACTCCTATTGAACATATCACGGCGTAATTCAGATATGTCTGCCGGCACTGAACCTCGCCGCGGCGATGGCATGCCAGGACCGGTGAAATCAATTATTCTTGTTATTCCGTTATTGTTGCTAGTTCCGGTATTGTTATTAATATTATTATTATTTATGGGGAGATTCTCTCGGTCATCTGGAAACGCGTAGCTAGTGTGTGACAAACATCAAGCGACAAAACACTGTTAATCAAAACGCATGCCAGATTGTCATATGTACGTACTGGTTAAAGATAAAATATTGCCAAGGAGATTTCCAAGAGCAGTTTCTTGCGGAAGACTTGCTCTTCGAGGTGCTGAAACGTTACCCTCTCTAGGACCTAACGCTAGTCTATTAACGCCTCCACCTAAAAATACGATAAATATAATTGTATTATTAGCTGTACTTTTTTGTTACATTGTTTGTGATTTAATAATAGCGATTACTTTGATGCCTAGTGATGTCAGTCGGTACAGATCCTCGTCTACAAGTATGGTCAACTCTAGTTGTTATAGGTGGTACTGTGATGTCATCCAATCTTGAAAGAAGACCAACTGGAGCCGATCCACGCCTTCTAGCCCATGACTGCGTGATAGAATGTACGATTTAAATTATAATCGAAAATTGAGTTTATAATGAAGTTCAATACTAAGTTTAAAATTAAAATGCAGAACGTTCAATCACTGGCTACATTTGGTTTGAAGACAGTATCAAACTTTACCTGGCTACCCTTCCTAGGCAAAGTAATCCCCTTTGAGTCCTCCACCGCCCGTGGATCAACATTTTCTTTCATCTGCGTATCTAGGCTCAATTTGGCAATTTTTGAGCTTCTCTCCTTTACAGTGTCCGAGTCTCTCTTGTTTCCAGTGGAAATAACTTCATTATTACCCTCTCCTCTTCGCAGCTCACTGCCACTGTCGCTCGACGAGGACACGCTCTGAACAAGGGGTGGCGAGTCCGGCGGGCTACCGATGAAGAACACTTTATGCGTGCTAAGTTCAGAGGACACTGGTATCGCGGTAAATCGTCTTCCACCGGGATCAGTCGTTATTGTCTTAGTTTCTGGCACAGGAGTTGAGTATCTTCGTAATTCAGGATCAGCGCACTTTGGTTTACCAGTAACCGCTATCAAACCGCACTGTTCCATTTTACTGAACGCCACAGAAGAAGTAGTAGTAGTCCTTTGCTCCTCTTCTATCGACCTTTCACTTTCCAGCTTCGTCTTGGAAACTGAAGTACCGTCGAACTTGACCTCTACCTCTAAGCTTCTACTATCTTTCTCAGAACGTGAACTAGTCAATGATGCCAGGAAAGCTTGCGTAGAATCCGTATTCTGAGTAGAAATCGGTCTTTTATAACGATTCTTGAAGCTCGTATCATCTATACGTATAGTTTGTACAGAATGGCGACGAGGATGCTCGATAGTCGCCATCGATTCTGTTTTTTGTCTAAATATCTCTGAAATAGCCGAACCTCGTCTCTTGTTCAATATATCCTCTCTCGATAATTTAACATTACTAGAAGAGTCTATCTGCAATATATCTCCATCGTTCGTTGGAGGAGTACCGCAACGGCCATCTGAACAGGATTTGTCCTTCACAGAGTGCGAGGAGGAGCTAGAACTGTCCGCCTCCATCAGTATCTGTGTGAAGCACTGCGACATCTCCGCTGTCGTGGACAAATACCTCATTCTTACGCACGGTTGTAGCGGAGGGAAGGTTTGCTGTCTGGTCAACTGTTTCGCCTGTGCGGTTGGTTTCTGAGCATCTGGTTGTAATACCGTACTTAATCTCGACGCCTCGGCGCTGTTAGTAATACTGGCTATGCTAGGTTCAGGCAGGAGACTCTCAGCACTAACTGGTCTTTCCTCTGTGTTATTGGCATTGGCGTTTGGAGATAGTTCCGGTATACTGTTCTTGGACGACAATAGAGACAACGAGCTAGGCTCCAAGAGACTTTGATCCTCCAGTCTCAATAGAAGGGTCCTAGACTTGCTCTGTTCATTTGGCAGACTCTCGCGTCTGATGTTACTTCTTGGCAACAATGTCAGAGGCTTGGTAATGCTCAATGGCACGGAATGACGTCTTCCGACGCGTTCCAAACCAACTCGAGCGGGTAGACTCTGCATTTTAGAGGATTGTACGTACGCAGCTGGTATGAGCATGTCGATGCTTCCTGTGTCATCCTCTCCAGCTGGATCTTCAATTGAGCTAACCGCGTCATCGACTTCTTCGAGCTCGGAGATCTCTGTTTCCGTTTCCTCAGCTGCTTCCTGGAGTATCATCGCTTCCCATTTCTTCTGATTAGCCCGCAGATGTTCCATTAATGACACGCTGAGCCCGTCGCCAAGGAAACGATGCCATTCCTCGTATAGAGGCGTTACGACGAACTTGAAGAATTGAGCTTGTATCTTTGGTATGCTAGTGGTATGTCGGTTGCACAGTGGGGTGACTGGAAGGTTCAGACGGCGTTCGTAATCGCCTTGGCGGAAGAATTCCTCGCATACTTTGTGCGACCATTTGCGCGAGATGTCCCAGGGCCTGCACGGGTTCGATATATCGGCGCATTTCAGGGCTATCTGCAGGATGAAATGCCGGTCGTCCGCGCGTTTCATCTCCAGCAAGTTCTCGTCCAAGTAGTGCTGTAAGTATGTGATAACAAGGCGATAATAGAACGTGATATATAAAGAAGATATCGAATGATAGAAGGACTGGGTGCTTCGAAGGACGTGTATATAGTACTGTCTGTAGGTTTTTAACGGCCACCAAATTTTTTTTTTCTTTAATAATATTTCTACCGCTTGTTCATATTTCTCTCCAAAACTTATTTTCTTCTATAACATTTGGAATCGTGAAAAACTAATTTACACTGTGGTCTTGATAAAGTATTACCAACATTGTCCTAATAGCAATGATAAAAATTCAAATGGTAACGATGACAAGAAAATACGAAGAAGAATCGTTAAAAAAAAGAGCAAGACTACCAAAGCTATTAAAAAGTATTACGATCAATTTTTAAAGTTATTCTTATTGACTCATCAACTAATACCGAGAAATCTTAATACTATAACACGTGTTTCACATCGTATATCATCGTCAATAAACGATTCAGTAGAAATTATCCAAATAAATCATTAATTCTGATCGCCAAAATAAACGAACAGAATATACTGTTATAGAGCCTATCAATCACAGTTACGGCTGCAAAACAAACCTGATCGCCACGATACATGCACTTCCATAATAATTCACGAGGTATTAAACATTCACCAAGTTGAAGAAAATTTATTTTAAGATTATCAAGTTTTTCGTGAAATTTTCACAAAGCCCTGTACTTTATATTTCAACTATTTAACAAGAGTTAATTGTTAATCCATACACCTGGACATGAATCAATTGGTCCTTTTTTTTCCACTGGCAACAAGTTTGTGCCGACTTATGAATTGAAGTACAAGTGTTAAGGAAGTTAGCAAGGCTTTCAAGTGTTCACCTTGAATCGAATGAGAAACTCTTGCTGCCTGGTGATGTCTGTGGCCAAAATCAACGAGCTGATGTGCCGTTGGAGTTCAGGCCTCACGTTAGCTGGCAGCTGTTCCGAGACCCCGCTCTCCAGAAGGCATCCTATCGCCGACCTCCAATGATGGTTCTCGAGAACCGACGTGTTCTGCAATCAATTCGTCGTCAATGATAGCTGTTTCACAGACGAGCTACAGTATAGTCGACAGAAGAAATATTACCTACGTTCATCGGATTTCACGTGTACATTCATGCTACTGTTTGACAATTTCAAAAAAATCACAGATGGTTCAAGTGTACACTAACGTTCAGAAGTACATATTAGGACACTCGTTAGGTATATTCGTGTAGAAAGTACTATATGATTCATAATTACGTTACTTCGCTAAAATTAGTGTCGTATCAAGTCACTTGTTATTGAAAACATTATTAAACACTATGTGTTTCATTGAAATGAAGCGTTAATGTAAATGTCTCATTAGAGATCAAATTTTAGTAGCAAAATTATTTCACATATATCTTCCATCTTATTCACTCTTTGAAATCATTTAAATTATGTATAAAAATTTAAAGAAGATAATTAAACGGCCCACTCTGTATACATTTACTTATCTTAATTGTGATACCAATCATGGGCCACCTTAGAATCACATTTAATTGCTACCTAATATTAGGCTCCATAGGTCATGGAAGATAATCCAAACATTCAAGTAAACACCAGAATAACAAATAAGTACAGTAAAGTATGGATAAAAGAGGTGAACAGATGACTAGATGGTAGAAACAAGTGTATGTCTAAAAGAAAAGGAAAAGTATATGATTAGATAGAAGAAGAATAAATTAATATATAGGTGTATAAGGTAAAATATACATGTGTAAAAATAAAATAAAATAAAAGCATAAAAACTTAAAAATAAGGATCCATTCGTTAGGTTGGTAGAGTAGATCTAAGATTGCTACTTGTTGTCTTAATTTACGACTTCGCTGCGTTATTCTTCGTCGACTATAAAGAACGGCGAACGTGCCGAAAATTGTATCGACTCACTTGATAGAGAGCGGCCAAGTGATTGCTCGTGGCAACCAGAAACGGCTGATTGACGCCCGGATGATCCAGATCGTGCGTCACCGCAGCAATCAGCGAAGCCATGATTTCCAAGTTGGTTAAGTGCGTCCTAATCTGTAAATTTACAACGTGCAACGCTTGATCACGCTTCTTCCTCTTCGTGGCCGAGAAGCAGGTAGGAGCGTGTATACTCACTTTTTCCTCTTGGAGGAAGCAGTGCATCGCTTGAGTCACGTCAGTCGCATGTATGCTGTTGTGGTAAGGATTTGTACTGTGATAACCTTCCTCGATGAAGGCTGCAATCAGAAAGAGAAAATGAAGGTGATTAAACGCTGTTTGTGTGTCTTTGGATCTCGCGTGGGAGTTTTAGGCAGAGATTAGCGTAAATTATCATTCTGAGATGCAGTTTAACACGTTAAGCGCCGTGTCAGTCACCGGTGACTGACACTATCTATACTTTCCCGTTCGGACCGCGTCAGTCATCGGTGACTGACAGTATACTTTTCGTTCAGGCCGTGACGATATACAATTTAAAAAATGATATTCTTCTGTTAATAAATTTTAAATAATTTGGAGATCATAACAGAATGCATCTAAATATTACTTGTTACCAAAAAAAAATTTTAACGAGTACTATTAAAACATACAGTCTTATCGCAACCTTACACAGATCTCCGGCCGCCAGCATATCGATGAAATCGCGGGCTAAACGGAAAGGGAAGCCATCAGAATTGCTTCTTTCTTTCTTTTATTCAATCTTCTAACGTTGAAATATTTTCAATGTTTCAATATTCTAAGTATAATTCTATATAATATAGAAATATTCTAAATGTTCTAATATTCATTACCAAAGTATTCCAAGCTTCAGAAAGCTTGAAGCATTTAAAACCTTATTAAAAGAAAAGGATTGATATTCGTCAGCGGGTCGATTATCTTAAAAATTATTTTCTATTCCCTATACTTTTCATCCTGCTTTATAAATATCCACTGTGCTTAATAAACAGTTTGTCATTTCCGGCTTAGAATGGTTCACCAAAACCATCCTACAGGTCTATACACAATAAAATAATAATAACATGAACCCTGCAGTTCCATAAGTATTTCCGTGCTCACAACAGCATCAGCTTAATGAACTCGATCATCATTAACCCTTTCACAGTGTAATGAACGAGGGGTGAGAAAGAAACCATGAAAAAAGTGAAGAAAAATGATTTGCGCCTGCTGTACCAAATGAAGGGTGCAGGGGAAAGACCAACAGAGATGAAAAATAAAAATTTTGAGTAAAAAAAAAAATAGACTTTAAGAAAAGAAACCACTAAAACAGTAAAAAAATGATTTGCGCCTGCTACACCAAATGAAGGGTGCAGGGGAAAGACCAACAGAGATGAAAAATAAAAATTTTGAGTAAAAAAAAAAATAGACTTTAAGAAAAGAAACCACTAAAACAGTAAAAAAATGATTTGCGCCTGCTACACCAAATGAAGGGTGCAGGGTAAAAACCAAGAGAGTTCAAAAACTAAAATTTTGCAGGAGAAAGAAAATAGAGAAAATACTTTTGTACCTTTCCCAGTGAAAATATATTTGAAACGTTACTTTAATGCTTGAAACTACTACCATAACATTAATTTTCTTTTACGTCTAATTATTTAATCAAACAATCACTGTGTACATTTCTTAAATTTTCAATAATTTCTCACTCAATTAGCTGTTCCCCCTTACTACTTGCTGTATTTAAGTTCGCCATGAAATCAATGCAACGCCATCGTAATCTAATTTTTTATATTCCTTGGACTCTGTTAATTTATCAAATGCACCCTTCGAACATAAAAACACGTAATCACACTTGTCCAAACCTGACAACCTTAAAGTATAACAAATTTCGATAATTATAGAATTTAAGTCCAAGCCTTTCTTACACCGTAGCGTGAAAGGGTTAATTTCATACAATTTCAATCACCATCACGATTATGTACCACGACCATAAATTCCACAGGACCTCTGGTTTTCAAATAAATAACACATTTCACGAACCATCGTGTTACTCCCAATAACATCGAGATTATCTCTCCCTCTATCGCGGGAAATAATTCTTGCAACATGATTGTTGCAACACGGAGAGTCAAGTTTGTCTTCTTCGAGCAGTCTTAAATATTCACATACTCCGTTTAATCCTCATTCTTCTCTTATACACGATCTTACATAAATCCTGTTTGTATGGAAATCTTACACAGAATAAATAAATAATAAGCGTCGCGCGCGCGCGACCAGTCTATAAATACGAATATACGAGGAGAGCGCGTGAAGGGGGCCGTTTTCTCTTCGCAGGACTCTCCTCCCCCTTTTGAATATTTAACGATGACGAATAGCTTCCGACCTGTATTCCAGGTGGCTGTACGATGACGTAAAAATTTCGCGCAGAAAGAGAATAATGATTATTAATAGGAGAGCCGGGATTTTGGTGTTCCGCGGAAAACGCAGTATCAGGGGAAACGTCGTCGATAAGTCAGCGGAACGCACCAGAAGAGAGAGAGAGAGAGAAAGAGATTGTGGAAGCGGTCGTTTGATTCCACAAACGCGTTAAGTAAACGTATGCCATATGCTACGGTGCTGTAATATTTAGTAGGAGAGCGAGCATGGTTCCAACGTGAAACGTGAAAAATATACCTATACAGCGTGTTCCAAAAAGTGCAAGTATTATATCTGGATAGGCG